TTGCCAGTTATTTTTTCTCATGGAGCTAAAACCAACAGAAATCTTGCAACTGAAACTCGTGCAGGTTCTGAATATGTGTTATAATGTGCAGATTTGTATCACAATAATGTGCACAGTAAAGTTTTTTTTAATGTTCATTTCTGAGATGTTAAAGCTTTGAGCCGAATGCTAATGTCAGCATTCTAACATACTCACAATAATTATGCTAGCATGTTGATGTTTAGCAGGCTATATGTTTAACATCTTACTTTAGCGCATTAGCATGCTAACATTTGCAAATTAGCACTAAACACAAAGTGCAGCTGAGGCTCGTAGGATTGTTATTTTACAGTTATAAACCAAAGTATTGGATAAACTATTGGAGTTCTAGACATGTAGATGGCGCTAGAGAGGATTAAAGCTTTTACCAATTATCCTCAGGGGACCATGAATGTTTGTAACAAATGTCATTGCAATCCATCCTACTGTTATTGAGATTTTTCAATAAAAAACAAAAATGTAAACCTCATGGTAGCGCTACAGGAACAGTCAGGGGATCATCAAAGTCAGTGGGGTGCAGCAACAGAGAACCATGAATGTCTGTAAAAGGTTTCATGGCAATGCATTCAACAGCTGTTGAGGTATTTCAGTCAGGAGCAACGTGGGGGACCAAGCTACCGGCCAACACTGCCATCCCTAGAGCCATGTGACTACTGTCACTAAGAATAGTTTGAATTATTTTGAAATTTTGTGTTCAATTTTGTTGCGGATGTGTTTGATTTCACTTAAATTGTGAATTAAAAGTTAAAGCAAATCTAATCCTGCACATGTCTACACTGCAGCATACACACATGCACTTTGAGTATACATAGCAAAATGTGATACAAATATGAACCTTGTCAAAGTTTCAGTTACAGGATTAATGTTTTAACTCTACAGTTTTTAAGTAATTTGAATACAGAGTCTAGATTGGTCTCAAATATTCCTGTTTGGACTGTTTTTTTCTTTTCTTCACATACTGTAACTAAATACAATCATAACAATATGACTGAACCTAGACAAAATTTCTGACAATTAACTCTGTTGCAGAAAAAGCAACATCACAGTTTTATTGAACCACAGTGAACAATGAAATGGGCTTTTAAAAATATTTTACTGCTACATTTTACAGTCTCTTTTCTTTCTATCATGCTTTAAAGGAAGACCAACAGGAACAGATCCTACGGTTGTGCACACAGTCACTCTGAGATTAATACACTGCACCGAGGCAGCACAATGAAGCCTGGATTTAATTGGAACAATGTAAGCAGGGCCTCTGTATTTAAGCCCACTTTGTACCAGTCACCTTTAGCGATATTCACCACTTTGCATCAGCTAAATGTGACGTACAAAAGAAAAGTCTTTGTGATATAGCAGCATTGTATTAGTCACAGTGCATGAAGGTAAAAACATTGTCTAAATACAAGGACCAGTTACTACAATATGAAAATATTACATTTGCTTAAGAGAAACAATCCAATATGAAAAGGAAGTGGGCGACAGAGGAGCATCACAGGTTAGATAACATGAGTTTTTGGGTCTCTGGAGGAAGCAGGACCGCGGGGTGAAACAACACAGCATTACTATGATAGTCATACCTGAAGAGTTCTTACCCCCGATAGGAAGGAAGGAGGTGATCTGCTTTTTTCTTGAATCATCTCATCATCGTCACTGCTATGAATCAATGTCTTTAAATTCAGTATTTGGTACAGGAAGTAACACATTGGTTTGAAATGAGGATTCAGTTCCCACAAATAAGCAATGCACGGATATACAATGTCCTTAAAAAGGTATCATACATACAGTAACAACTTTCCTCTTTTCAACAGAAGATTTCTACACACACTGACACTCACAGAGACACTGGCCCTTCAGTTTATACGAATTAAAGAGAAAATGTTCAGTTTCCTTCGACGTGTCTCTCGAGTACAAACGACTGAGGTCAGCATTGACTCAACTGCACAGCATGTCCATACAGCGTGGAATTAAAGACATTTCTTCGACAGCCATTTTGCATATAAAGTCTGTATAAAAATCAAGGAGCAATAGCAACAGGCCCTTTTCAAAGGTTGATCGATACTACGCCTACTGTGAGCTGAGCTGGAGAGACCGGAGGAGTGAACAGCATGTTTGGTTGAAGTCTCTCCAGCTGAAATAAAGGCGAGAGGTAAAAACAGGAATACGGTATGTTGACCCACGTTTACTGAGGTCTGATAACAGTGAAACTGTAATACTGCAACGCAAAGCACGACTGAATCTCCTTATTGTCACTGTAGAGTTGGAAGATGTCGTTCTGCCAAAACGGCCTTTCATAAAAAACAAAGTCATGTAAAAAAACTGTAAATACACAGTTACAGTATATGTGCATACCCAACATGATGAAGAAGATTGACTGTAGAAAAATATATAGCCTATATCAAAGTCACTTAACCAGAAAATAAATCCAACAAACAGATTTCAGGATCATTTTACAAATTCATATTAATAATGACAACACTGGAGGACCAAATTACACAAGGCTAAACTGAAGGCATTTTGGTTGTAGGAACTTGTAACAGGGTGTTTTCTTAATCACAAGTTCAAATCTGGGAAGGGGGGCCACTGGAAATATGACGAGCTAAAAAGAAATACAAACTAAGCTTATAAGTTTATATTCAGTCTCATATACTTCTGTGATTTGTTTGAGTTTTTATGGACACACAAGCTAGTACTGTACTTTCCCATTTTAATCTGTGTTGTCAAATGATCTTTAATCAATAAGATAAGCAAATCCCTGCACCATTAGAGTGCCCAGGCGTTCCTGTCAGACTGCACAACCATTTATTTGCAAAAGAACACAAATAAATAAAATAATAAGAGCACACATACCCCTTATCTCATGTTCCTACAGTGTCTCCCCTAAAATTTTATATTTGACAGTTTAACAATTAATGCTAGCAAAAGAATTATATATATTTTTTGCAAATGCTCAAGTCTCAAATTACTGAATATATATTAACAGCATATTATCAAAAATGTGAACAGTATCAGTTTAAAAAATGTGCAAAATAATTACCATTGTTAGCTAACAGACTTCTTCTGTTAAAGTTAATTTGATATTATATGGAGTTTTAACAGGAAGCTATGATACACTGTAGTTTGAATCACATTGTTTTATGCTCTTTATAGCCCCAACATTTAGAAATTGCTGCACAACATAGAGGACAATCTGCACTAACTTTGTACATTATAACTGCGGTAATTTATGAGCCACTAACTGTTTTGTTAAGGTTTCTAGCCATTTTAATATGTTCATAAGTTCAGTAATGTTTTTTGCTAACCCTTTACCATAATAGCCATAATGCAAATTGAACCTACAACTGTGATTTAATGTGTATTGAACAGGACTCAGGTCTTAGCTTTAACAATACAGAGGAAGAGTTCACAGTGAATCAAGTGACCTTCTCTTATCAAACCAAACCCTCCATAATAAAAATAATGCATAGTCATGTGGGACACAGTTAAGAAGTTCAGAAAGGACAATAAGGCAAAAGAACAGTTAGGGAGAAACAACTAATCAGCTCACCTTCACACTCCTTCACAAACGTATTAAAGTAACTAAAGTAGATTTGGCTTTAAGTGTGTTCATGACTTAGGTAAGATAGTGTAAGCTGTGACACAATTTTCAAATTGGTACTTGGTTGTCAGTCCCTTTTTTGCTACTGTGGGAAATAACACTTGTAACCCAAATTTGAAATCAAGATTTACAAAAAAAAAGCATATAGTTTCACACTTTTTTCACCTTCACACGCAATACGTTTGGCTCTATGTTTCCAAGCAGACAGGTAAAGCATGTTACCTCTTTACTGTTTCTGTGTCATTGCCAACAAATCAAACTTCCACGTGCTCTTTAAAATTTAAGAAATATCTGTATGCGCACTGTAACAGGACGGATTCATGCTAAACACTAATTAAGAAAGAAATTTTACATCATAAAAAATTAATAAAAATAATGCATTTCTCTTATGAATTTACCACAAAATAAATTGTGCACAGTTGGAGAAGGTCTGCTGTTTTATAACACATTATCACAGCAGGACAATGCCTGCAAATCCACAACTCCAGTCAAATGTACTGTAAATCATAGTGTGCATAAAAAAAAAAAACTCTGAAAGTACTGTTGAGTTGTGGTTTCAGTTCTGCTGTAAATGTGTTAGCTTATTTCAGTGTACTAACCTGGATATTGAAATTTTTAATTTTTTTAATTTACACACATTAACACTGTGTTAATGACAGCTGTACTTGTATTATATTGTTATTCCAGAATTGTGAATGCCTCATCAGAGGACAGCATTATTTCAGACTTGCAATACTTTGCTAATATACAGGCCGCACCACTGAAATAAAAGCATTCTTACACATTTCCATGAACTGTTTGCCCCTTTAGTGATAAGTTCAGGTTAATGCTACTCAGTGCTGCCTGCTAGGTCCATGCCGCTCTATTGCACAGTTTCAAAATAGGTGAAAAACCCATAGACATGATAATATTAACCAAAAACAGTGACTGTGGTCCATGTGACAAATTCTCATCCTTGTGACAATTCAGTTGGAAAAACAAATGCATGGGAAGTAAAGTGCATTGTAAAAACATGTGTGTTGCTACATGTGGTGGAAACAGTGGTTTTGTAAATGAAGTAAGACATTACCAGAGAACTTTTTCCATGTTTGCATTCCCAGTCTGCATGCATTTATGATTAATGGCAACAGAGTCAGTGTAATTCTGTGTGTGGCTGTGAATGTAAACGTCTGGGGGAAAAAAGGGAAGAGGCATCAGAAAAAAGAAACAAGATATCTGAGAGTGATGTTAGATCTATACAAAATATTGGCACATTATCTTATAAACAGCATACTGGATGATGATCATGTTGTCTAAGGGTTACTACTTAAACAAATGAAGCATCCAGTCTTTTGTCTCATGTTTCACAGTATTAAAAGTGCACTAATTGCCCAACACACCAACATTTTCCAGCTGTAATATTCCTCATCATGTCTCTCTTCTAAAATGTGCTACACTCTTTCTTTGACACTCATTAATGCCACTTTAATCTCTCTGGTGTCTCTCTTCTTAACATGCGGTAAACTGACACGCACTGCACTTTTTCACACCTGCGTCTCCACACCGTTAAGTTTAGGCATCAGGATACGAGGAGTCACCCCAGAGTTGAGGTCCCTCTCGAACTCCAAAAGCTGACCCATGAAGTTTAGATTCGGGGACACCACTGGACGACGGCTCCGCACGTATTTGTAGGCATCTGTCATTGTCATGAGGGTGTGCTTCATAAGGTAGGCGATAACGATGGTTGCGGAACGGGACACGCCTGCCTGGCAGTGTACCAACACTCCCTGTCCACTCTGATATGCCTCCTCTGTGGATGAGAAAAAACAGCTTAATGCTGCATGCTTGTGAGCTGTGAGTATCTGTGAATATAGAAAGTATCATCACTGTCATTAGAACTTACAACATTTAGCTAGGCCTACGACATCATTATATCCTAAATAAACAATTAAGCCCATTTACAACCAAAATGTAGGATGTCAATATGCATGTTCTTATTTTTATTCAAGGCTCCATAAAACATCACTGACTGTATAATAAACTACAAATTACATTATATACATTCACCAATAATCCTTCTCAACATTTAATTCCACATACCTCCTTTCTTGATAAATATGCTATGTATGCCACAGCTTCGAAATGTACAGTTGAACACAGACCACTGAATTCAGTATGTTGATTTCCTATTGTTATTGTTATTCCTCCTTCATTCCTCATTAGACAAAACTCTTGAGAAAGAAATTACATTATTAATTGCTCAACAGCAAAAGTAATAATAGTAAAAATAAAGTAAGTTACATTACTCTAGTTACTCAGCCCAGTTCTGTCAAACTTACCTTTAATCAACTTCAACTTCAGCCTCCATATGATTAATTCTGTGCTTAAAGGTCTAAAGTCTAACATTTAGGAGGCTCTACTGGCAGAAATGGAATATAATATCTTCACTAGGTTTGTTGAAAATAACAATTAAAGTAAGAATCATTCTGTTGTTGTTACCCACGACTGAGCCTTTTATATCTACAGACGCCGCGGGTCGCGTAACATAGAGCCCGCCATGTGTTCTATGGTAGCCCAGAAGGGACAAACCATTTTTGCGCATACAGTTTATACTGACCATCAACAGTTAGCTTAGCCAGGACTGCTCCTCCTCCTCTGCCCCTGCACCAACATGACCTGGACTACTCTCTCCACTCAACATTGATATCAACCCCTCATCTAACTCCTGGTAAGACAGCAAATAAGCCAACCCCCAAAATGATGAAGCTTTACTGGTATGAGTAACAGATTTTCAAAGCAGTTTCATTAATGTTATCTGTTACTAAGCAATGCAATACTGCCCAACACTGCTAATTATTACTTCCTTTCTAAGCGCTGACAGACTCTACAATATACCATATACATGTTCACAAATACAACAACATATCAGAGGTGGGAATCTCACCAATGAACTCAAAAACCTCCTCAAAGTATTGTCGAAGGTTTTGCTTGCTGTTATCAGTGGCTGGCAGCCTTTTGTAGCGCAGTCCAGAGTTGACGTGGTAGAGGGGCAGGTGTGTGGTCACGTTGACCACGTAGCCGATGTTGAGGCGCAGCAGCAGGTCCAGGTCTTGGGCGTCTCTCTCGTTCCCCAGAAACAGGAAGGGCAGGATGGGGCTGACCACGGCATTCTCTGCATCAGGAGTCATCGCACTTTCATCGGACAGAGAAGCTGGCAATGAGGAGGAGAGCGGCAGAGAAAGGTGCACTGGAGGAAGACAAGACAGAGAGAAAGTATGTTGAGACATCGTTTGTGGTGTGTGAAGACAGACATTTGCTGCCACAGAGCAAGAAATGACAAGAATACTTCTTTAAAACTAACAAAACTTGAATTAACTGAATCACCAAGGAAATCACTGATTCAAAAGTGGGCCATAATAGCCTGAAAGCTAATTAGCTAATTAATAAATTAGTTCTAGCCATTAGCACTTTGATTTTTTTATAACTTAAATGAAACAACTTGCTGAGATCCAAAGAAGCTAGATGTTCCCAAATATGGGTGCATCTGTTAAAACCTCAACAAAATTATTTAACACGTCAAGGGGAACAGACTGAGAATCATGACAGCGTATGCCCAACACAGACAGGCTGAGCTCACAGAAAGGAACACTTTGAAACTAACCAACAGGGATCTGTTGATGGACATACTGCTAAATTACATTCAACGCAATATGACCCAGCTTTATGTCAGTGATTGTAGTGGAAAATTAGTTAGCTATTATATATATTTTACCACTTGCACGGGTGAATTGTAAGCTATTCTTACTTCTGCTGTTCTCCTCATCTTGCTCTCTGTTAAGGGAATTTAGAGCCAGGTGAAGTGACTGAGCCGACGGCAGTGAATGTCCTCCCTCCCTGTCTCTCTGCCAGGGTTTGGGTTTGATGAGTGTGCTCGGGGCAGACGGTGGAGGCGAAAAGGACACAGGTGACGGTGGGGAGGCAGAGCGGGGAGAGGGGGAACATGGATATGCTGCATCTCCGTCTTGATCAGGACCATCGCCCATTCCCATATCTTCGGCTTTATTCAAGAGCCTCTTCAGCGAGTTCCGGCCTTCGTCATACCCAGAGCCAGACCTGCAGCCCATAAAATCAAGGGCAGCCATTTTTCCTTGCTGAAGCCGCCGTCGGCCAGCATGATCTGTTAGCTGAGACTGTGCGTATTCCTGGAGGTTTTGACAGTCCAGAAGGACAAGGCCTGTTCCGTTACTGCCATTTTGGGCCTGGCTTGCACAGGTCTTCCCGACTCCTACTCCCATGCCGGCACAGTGATTCTTTTGGGCTTTAGAATGGGTCATCTTCTTGGCCAGTTCTTCAGGCCAGATCGTGCGCACGCTGTAGTCATCATCATCGGCTTGGAACATACCCATCGGATGAGCTGCTCCAATGCCTCTTCCTGGAGGTTTGCCTCGGCGAGGATTGAATGTCACCACTATGGGGTCGCTACTGCAGTAGCTGCAGGTGGAGCTGCCTGTCTGAGAGGCTTTGGGGTTGCAGCCTGTGACGCAGCTCTGTATTGCCCGGAGAGGGGCCGAGGACGACAGCGGGGCACAGGGCAGGCATCCTCCTACAAGTTTTTTACGAAGGATAGCAGGACTCTCGAAGTTTCCAGCCTCACCAGAGCAGGAAGCACAGCGGAGAGGTTTGAACAGGGTTGCTCGGCAGTCAGACACAGTGCTGTTAGAAGAGGAGGTGTTGGAGGTGGAGGTGGTGGACAGACACCCACCCAGATTTCTCAGGCCCATTTCTTTGCCTCCTCTCTTCACTGCTCCGACATTGTGAACACAGGAAAACGAGGTGGAAGAGCTTCCTCCACCTCCTTGGAAGCCAGCAGAGTGTCCTTTACACCCTCTGCATCTTACCAACCTCCAGCAGCCGCAACTGAATGGGTGGGTGCAGTCAATAGTGCAGGTATGGTCAGGGCTGGGGAACCCTCCGGCGTGGGAGGAGCAGGGGGAGAGGGGCAGACCATGAAGAATGTGAGGGCGGTGATCCCTATTGCGGGACGGGTGTGGCTGGCTGAGTTGCTGAAAGGAAATGGGGACATGGGTGGGTTGGGAGGGAGGGGGTGAGGGATAGTTGGAGTTTAGGATGGCAGCATGAGGCACAGGGACGGAGTTGTGGTGGTAGGGCAGACTGTTACTATTATGGCTTTGATGGACAGTTCCCAGTTTGGAATTGTTTTTGTGAGTTAGAGAAGGAAATTCATGGTCACTTCTGTTAAGAAAACTAGTGTTTTCCTTTTCACTCCTGAACTTATGCTGCTGCGTCTGAGCGGGGACGAATTGTAAGACGCCTCCGGGGGAAGATGACAGCTGACTATGGCGACTTCGCTGTGACTTGTGTTCGCCTCCACCTGGCCTCCCTGCAGTTCCAGTTTTTCTCTCACATTGTCCTTGATCCGACTGTGAAGAAGCACATTTCCCTTTGCCACCTTTTACACTTCCGCTGCGCCCTAACGAGTTGCTGAATCCTCCTGCCCGTCCTCCTTTGTCCACTGTCACCCTGATATCAATAGTATGTGTGTGGGAGGGAAGTCGTGGACCAAGAGTTACAGTGCCATTGCTATGGCAGTGGCTAGGGATGTGTCCGACACCCGCTGGGATAACAGGCTGGTCGCACTTGAATTTCTGCACACGGGAGGATCTGCGCTTGCATTCCAGAGTCAGAGATTTACAGGAGGGTGAGTAGAAATGGGACTGAGAAGGGTGGAGATGAGGAGGGTGGGCGATTTGTCCATTAGAGGAGGCTGATATTTGAGAGGAATGCTGCGGGATGGTTTGTGGGGAAGCCTCACACAAGGCTACGTTTTTAGGGCGCTGAATGACCACTATGCGCTCATCAAGAGGGAGGGGAGGCATCTGGGTTTATGCAAAGCTGTTCAGTAAAGAGGGAGAGAGAAACAGAAAGAGCATAGTCAGAAAATTACTGTAATTTCACAAACACTAGAAATGTGGGGCACACATTACATTTCATCAGTTTAGACAGCACATGCTGACACAAAATTATAAACATTGCCTTGCAGCTATAACATATTTATATAAAACAGTGCTTGCACATAATTGTGAGCATAGTTGTTTTTTCTATTGATACAGTATGTTACAATATTGTGTAATTACATTTAAAATCAGTTACTTGTGAAATGTAAAGTAAAACCCCAAATCCAGCACAAGAATGACAACACATGTTCACAACAACAACAGATTTTTATGTTTTGCATATTTTTTTAAAGTCATCTCTGAGGTGTCTTTTGCATACCAAAACATAAACGAAGTACAAAAACAACAACCAACAATGTTACATCTCAGTTCTGACATGTCACACACATTTCCTTTCACATTTGCTGCAAATGAAAGGAGAAATTATACAAAGAGAATACCCACTGAGGTGCACCACAGTCTGTGACCTGCTTATACCAGGGCCACTGTCTGGGCATTTAATGCTCATTTATATTTATAGGAATTTAACATTTAAACTGGTAAACAAGATAATATAGTTAGCATTACGGTTAAATTCAAAATCGGAAGGTACGAGACTGTGTACCTGTATGCTGTTAGCAGCAAATTATCCCAGCTAATCCTGATGGCGGTGAGGCTTCTTAAAGGCTCAGTGATAAAAGCTTCATCAAATGAGCTGCAACAGCCTTCATCCCTCTGATGAGTCCTCATTATTAACAATCAAGTCATGGCTTGGCTGAAAAGCTAACTATACTGTAAAACATAGCTGGACAGTGCTTTTTTTTTTTTTTTTACTGCTCTTGATGTAGAAGCACACTATATAGTGATGCTAAAGCTTGAAAAAAAGAATAAACCGGCAATGAATGCTCATCTTTTTTGAACTACAAGCCCATGTATGTAAATGCTTTATTCTTTTTTATGCACTACTTAAAACTGACAAAAACTTTGCACTGCTTTGTTGCAGAAAAACAACACAGTGACTCGCAAAATTAGATAATGGCTCAGTGGGATTCTTCACTTTAAAGACTGTTTTATGCAAGAGAGCCATGTGATTATCCAAAATGAAGCACTTCTTGCTCCCAGCCATCTAGCCCGTTCACTCTGCCTCAGGAATAAACTAAATTAACCAAATCCTTTGGGACAATTAGAAATGAGCATTTGTCCAGGCCATGGCATAAACAGAAGGTCACCACATACACAACAAATACAATTCAGTCTGAGAGAAAGCTTTCTCACCATGACACAGCAAAAAGAGATAAACTGACTGTAGCTCATAAATATGCACTTTGTAATAAAATATATATAGAAGATTTTGTTCATATCATTAAATTGCCTTTATGATTAATGCTATTAATAACAGGTTGGTACAGTTACTACTACAGGACTTTGGACTTAAAAGTTTTACATTCATTTGGTACATTCATTATAAGGCTTCATCAAACTTAAAGATGAAAAATTGATTGTTGTTAAAGTTAAAATCCGCCCTCTGATACACACACTGTTAAATACAATCAATCTGAGATGTTCAGTGCACCCAGGAGTTGTTTGGTTGATGAAGTACTTTAATTTACTTTTTGCCACAGTAGCGGCATGGCTGCAAGGGTGGGTCAGTTGGGAGGATGATAGCATGCTAATGTTAGCATTAAGCTCAAAGCACAGCTGAAGTACTGTTTAAAGGAGATCAAGAGATTTCCCATGCACTGGTTTATGAACAAATACCTGCAAAACTTACATTCCCATCCATCTCAGCTGTACTTTGTGTTTAGTGGATGCTGAACATGAAGAACACATTACGTGCTTTACATCATCATTTCTTTAATTGTAAGCATGTTAGCATGCTGATTTTAGCACTTAGTTCAAAGCACTGCTGTGCCTAAGTACGGCCTAATGGAGTTCATATTACTTGTTCACATTACTGAAACATAACAACATATATTTTTTATTCACTCCTAGTGATATCTTGCCATGCAAGTAATTCATTTTCACAGGATTTTGAGACATCCATTATTTCTGCCGTCAGCCAAAATACAGGTGAATGTAATTTTGTTTGTGGTTCTCACAGCAATGCAAAAACAACAGCAACATCTCCAAAGACCTCACAGAGAATAATTTGTACTGGAACAATGTTTTAGTGAAGAAATAGTCCCAATGTCTCCACCTACGTTGCATCAGCATGGAGGCAGAAATTTCACAGATAGATATCTCAAAACCTGGGCCAGTAAATCACAATATATTTGCATGGCTAGAT